TCACATCAGCAATCACAGCACTTTGGGAGGCATAGGCAGGTGGATCATTTGGGGTCGGGAGTTCGAGCCAGCCTGGCCAAGATGGTGAAACCTTGTTTCTACTAAAAATACAAAAATTAGCCGGGCGTGGTGTTGCACGCCTGTAATCCAAGTTACTCAGGAGGCTGAGGCGGTAGAATCACTTGAACCCAGGAGGTGCAGGTTGCAGTGAGCCAGGATCGCACCACTGCACTGAAGCCAGGGTGAAAGAGTGAGACTCCATCTCAAAAAACAAACAAACAAACAAAACAAAATGTAAAATATAAGTGTTGGAGAAGATGTGAAGAAAAGGGAACCCTTGTACACTATTGATGGAAATGAAAATTAGTATAGCTATCATGGAAAATGGTATTGAGATTCTTCAAAGAATTAAAAATAGAACTACCGTACAATTCAACAATTCCACTTCAGGGTATATATCCAAGTGATATGAAATCAGTATTTGAAAGAAGTATGTGTACCCCAATGTTCATTGCAGCATTATTCACAATAGCCAAGATATGGAATCAATTGTCTATTGATGAACAGATGAATGAACAAATAAAATGTATATACACCATGGAATACTATTCAGCCATAAAAAAAGAAACTCCTGTCATTTATGACATGGATGAATCTAGAGAACACTGCATTACATTAAGTCAGACATAAAAAGACAAATATGGGTATAATCTTACTTGTATAGGGAATCCTAAAAAGTTGAACTCACAGAAGTAAAGAGTAGAATGCTGGTTACTAGGGACTGGGAAGATGTTCACCAAAAGGACCAATGTTTCAGTTACAGAGACGGAATAAGTGCTGGTGATCTATTTTACAACATGGTGACTACAGTTAATAACGTGTCAGTAGTTGAAAACTGCTGTGAATAAACTTTAAACATTCTTACCACAAAAAAAAAGATACGTGAGGTGAAGAAGACATTAATTAGCTTGACTTACTCATTCCCTAATGTACACAAATATCAGTATATCACATTGTACACCATAAATACATAAACTAAAAAAAGTTAGTTATGATTACCCTCTTGAAGCATACATTCTAATAAACAATTAAAGAAAGCATTGAATAGAAGAAAGGAAATAAAACAAGATGATATGAGAAAGAATAATAATGGAAAGGAAGCTATTTAGTTACAGGAGTCAGGGAAAGCCTCTTGGAGGAGGTGAATTGAAGAATGAGTAGGCACCAGTCACACAGAAAACTGGGAAAAGAGCCAAAAGCCAGTGACAAAATACAAACATCCTGAGACATGAAAATGCTTGGCATGATTAAAAAACTAGAAGGTAGTCTGACTGTTTCATAGTGAGCAAAAGAAAGAATAACATGAGATAAAGTTGGAAACATAGCCAATAGTCATCTTATCTAGGGTCCTTGTGAAATGTTAGTCTAAATACTACTACAAATTTTATGTCAAGAAAGGACATAATCTGCTTTATCTTTTAAAACAATGAAATTGGCAGTAAAACTAAAAATAAAAGAATAACGATCAGTAAGAGAAGTAAGGAATTCACTTTGGAGGTGAGTATTGTAATTGAGGCAAGTCAGAATTAGAATAGTTTTGCTACGTTAAGGCATTTTAATTTTGTTCCAAAAATTACAGGGAGCCTTTTGAGAATTTTAGAAAGAAAAATTACTTTATTAAAGTTATTATATATTATAAAATATTTATTAAATTAAAATGGTATACAAATTATACTTACTCTGTTACTATATTGTATTATATATTAGTGTTATTTCCAAAATTGTCAGTAATAAACTGAGAGAAAGCCTAGAAACAAAAAGTCCAGTGAAGAAACTATGGCAATACTTCAAGAAGGGATTTGAGTCTGAACTAAGGTATTACATCAAAATTTTAAAAAAGAGATCAGAGAGCTAATTCAAAAAGAAGCTGAAAGAAGGGAGTGGGATGTGGAGGAGCTGAAGAGTAGTCCAGAAAAGGGTTTCTCAAACTATTTGTGAAAATTTACATTTATCTCCTCAATCCATCATTCGCTGACACATTTAGAAAATAAAATATAAAATTGTATTTACTAATTGTAGTAAATTACTAAAAAAATAAAAAATTTTAAAACTACACAAAATAAAAGCACAACTTTTTGTTATTTGATTAGGCAGACATAAAATTACACATCAATAAATATAATCAGACAAAAATAGCACAAAGAAAAAGAACACAATTATAAAAATGGCCTGTGTTGTTCACCAAAAGTGAACTGGGGATTAATTTAGACAACTACTATTACACTTGCAACTTTTCTTCATTACACATCATAACTAAACAAAAAGTTTTAGGTAGAGAGTGATCCTCACCTCCCAAATGCCTATATGAATATTTTGAACAAACACTGCAATTATAAATAAAGTTTGTGATGTTGACAATGAGCTTTTTTGCTTGTTAATTTATCTAATCTAAGGTGAACTGGCAATAAAGCATCTCAGGGGAATAATAAATACCTAAATTGTTTTTGTTTTATTTCAGTAACACTCAAAGAGGAGAAAGTAATGTCACACAGGTATGCTGATGGAATGAAAACTCTTCTACATCTTGTATAGTTATAACAAGATGTAAGTTATATTTCAGTGACAGAAATGGATTCCAGATCCATGAATTTGCTATCTGTGAATCTTCTATTGCTGGAAAATAAAATATAAAATAGTCTGCCCAATCCATAAAATGGCAGGTGATAATTTGAAAGATGAACAAAATCTGATCATTTCTAAAGACCAGAACACTTAATAAATTTTTTTCTTTGAAAAAGGGTCTTGCTCTGTTGCTCAGGCTGGAGTGTAGTAGGCACAATCACAGCTCACAGCAACCTAAACTTCCTGGGCTTAAGCAATCTTCCCACCTCATCCTCCTGAGTAGCTGGGACTACAGGCACATGCCACCATGCCTGGTTAATTTTTAAATTTTTCGTATAGACGGTGTCTCACTACACTGCGCACCAGGCTGGTCTCAAACTCCTGGTCTCAAGCTGTCCCCTCTCCTCGGCCTCCCAAAATGCTGGGATTATAGGCATGCGCCACCAAGCTGGGTCGATAATTATTATTAAATTGTGAAACATGTCATAGAAATTGTGTACCTCTAAGATTTTAACTTTTGTGTTCTTTGATCATACCTGCCATGAAAAAATATCTTTCCCTGTTTGGAAGCATTGAGTTCATGAAAAATATTTGACAGACACTTTCCCCCAATAACCACTGCACTACAGCATGCAATAAGTTATGATAATCTGCCATAATATCACATAATACAAAGAATAATAGCAAATTTACCACATTGGCCTTAAAGTAATTCAAAATTTTATTATGCTACTAACACCACTGTTCAGTGTAACTGAAACTATTTTCATAGCAAGACTTTCTCGTAAACTAAAAAAAGTTAGTTATGATTACCCTCTTGAAGCATACATTCTAATAAACAAAAATGCTGATTATTTTCAACAAATACCTTGGAGACAGGCTTTTCTCACTAAACAAGCTCTAGATTAGGTCAAATAATAATAAGCCCTGTGAAT